ACATTATTTATTTAATAATTGACTTCTAATAAGATTGTCTCCCTTTAACTGCAGCTAGTCTTTTTCTAGTTGCTTATCAAAAGGTCTTGTACTTTATTGGATACCTTCTGTTTTTTAAATCAGTCACAGTGATCACGGAAGTAATTTATTGTAAGTTAACTAACTTACATGTGAGTGCCCCCATTATTCTAACTACATAAAGCAGGATGGAGGGTCGTCTGTTGTGTCACGGTCATCCGCAAGCACTTGTGGTTTCACAAAAGAGTTCAACGATCATGCGGCATGTTTTGAGCGTTCAAGTTTGCTGACTCTTGCCTGAATAATTGCGTCCGTACTACAAATTGTGACTATAGACTCTTGAGTTACGAACCTTGAAAGATCCATAGACTTCGACCATCTCTATTGACCAGGGTTTCCTGCAGTGCTTTCTTCCGTTTCTCCATTTTCTGCTTGACCTTGGAAGCTGTGAGAAAAGATTCGCAATAGAGCAATGATTGGTGAATTTAGATCAAATTTACTTGATCAAATACTGATTTCCCTTTTCAGTTAGAATGGTTATTTAACTAAAATGCTGTTTAAACATTAATATAAGTTCCTGACAATATTTTTTTAATGTTTAAATTTTTAAATTTATAGGCTTTTCTTGTCTGATAATATATCAGTCATCAAATGGATCAGACTGTTTTAATGTCGAATGATAGGAGGACATCTAACAAAATTCTTTGAAATTTGTCACTTTCGTAAGCTTTGGCAGAGCCAAACTAAACCACCACCTTGTCACACTTGTTTGGAGGCTTATTAGTATTTCAGTTGCAAATCAGAAGTCAGGCAAGGTCACACAGGACGATCACTGAAGTGCCGGCATATGGTTCAATTACCGTTAAAAAACGATTATAAGTTTATCGCTGTGATAGGCCATTAAACTACATTGAATTTAACAACCCCTGAGAAACCATGGAATTCAACAGTCTCCGACTTAAGTTGATGTTCAGCATTGAAATGAAGTTATGTATCAGAAGTGTGCTTAAATATCACAGAACCCTTCATCTGCTTAAGTTTTCTCTTCCGCGCTAACGACTTTAGAAGCAGTGAGGCTATATGACTGGTGTAACTACTTGTACGAGTCGTCTGCGAAGCCAGTATTTGGGAAAACCCTGTTATTTGGCATCAAGCCAAAAGTCGTCATCCATATCTTTTGCTTAATGTGTACTTTTATGGAACATGAAGTCATTCGTTTGGTGCTGTTCCTGCTCAGTACGTCGTACGCTGCTTGACCGTCGTGGTTGCCATTCTGTCATAGCACAACATTGATCTGATCGATGGACTACAAGGGTTTTTTGGAACAGCTATTTCTTTGTCTACCAAATGTACCCACGAACAGCTACTGAAAGTGATGGAAGCATAAACGGTCCTCCTATTTAAATCTGAATAACTGGTAAGTGATGGAATCCAGACAACTGAGCTGGCGAATCTTGTTTAACGCTTCACCTCCCGTGGTCCCTTTTACTGCGCCTGTGACTCTGTTATGCCAGGGGAGTTTTTCCTAACTTTCGGTTTCTGAATGCTAAGGACGCCACTGGTTTTAAGCGCAGATTAGCATGTTTAGACCACCAGGTGGCACCTGCTTTCCTTAATACTCATCAGCGTACGCTTTATAATATCCACGTGATAGAGAACAATATAATGTAATCCCTAAATGTTGTGGTTGTTATGAAAAACTGTCGTATAAAACCCTGAAGGGCCCGCTAATATGGCAATTTATAGCTGAGGATGAATAGATCTTCAACTGTATATAATGTTGTTCTGTTTAAGAAAGGAAATAACTACAAATCAAGAAAGTACGGTTAAAGGCCACAGGTGTCATGCATGTATTTACTGACCTAGATGAAAATGGGTGAGAAAGCGTCTGGTGATTTTTTCTCATGACATCAGAGAACAAGTCGGTAACAGGAAGAGTCACAAAAGATGACTTTTAATCCCTTGCCACTTATGGGTATCGGTGTTAGAAAATTTCAGTAGACGGTTACTTTGGTTTTACTTTGTGAGTTAAGCATTGTCAGCTGTAATCGTTGCAGAATTTTAAGCTTCAGCGGTGTTTGATTTATTTACATTTAAGATTTAATGTTCATTTTTGGTCAACTTTCAGGTGTGTCCAAAAGGTTACAGCCATAAGGAAACTTGCTGCGTGTTTCTCGGTTGCACGGAGGCAAGGGCAAAGGATTCCTTTTTCGATTGAATTAGAG